CTTCAGGTTCTTCTCACACACAACTCTCCCAGGGAAGCGCTCTTCAACCACTGTTTAAGTACGAGAGCTCTCTCCTCACACCATTTCTGCCTGACTTTTCTTGTTAGCACGTACTACCATCTAACAGATTGTCACTTATTTCGTTATTAATTTCTACTCCTAGTTAATGGGTTATATCATTCATTATCTATGAGACTATATAACTAATTCAGTGACCCAGCCCTATGCCCAATGGATTAGATAATTAATTTATTTATCCACCTCTATTTAGCATCCCCCCCCGACCACCAAGATGGAAGTGCTAGGAAAGGATTTTTGCTTTGATCTCTGTTGAAACTACAATGCCCAGTGTCTAAAATATAACAAGCGCACAATAAAACAGTTTTTTAAAATGCTACAACAGCATTATCAAAAAGACAAGTTCTGCAAATACCAGAAGAAACTGCTAACCTGAGCTAACACGGTTATCTCATGAGGAAGGGTGTGGCACCAGAGAGGAAGGAAGTAGGGGCTTTGGTCTTGGGTTTCCGAACTCACAATGCTCTTGCTTGACTCTGCAAGCAACTTATTAAATACAGCTCTATGAAACTGCCGATGTGCTGCTGGTTTTTCACCAACAAAACAGCAGCTTCTTCATATGTATCAACCTAATGCATACAGCACTTGGATAAAATATAAGTTTAAGAATTATTTTTAATAATTTTGGTGTGGGGAATAAACTTCAAAGACAAAAAAGAAATAGTCCTCATATTTGGCCATTTAAAAAAGTTAAATATCCATCTGTTGCAAAATATGGCACAGAAAAATGTAAAGCACAACCAACAATCAGAGGGAAATGCAGGCGAAAGAGAAAGGGTTAGTACTCATACCACAGGACGGGCACGTCAAATCAACAGTCAACTGATAAATAACACAACAGGAAAAAGGGGCAAAGGTATTGTTACTCAAGAAAAACATGAAGAAAAACTAAACAGTCACAGTAATGCACTGTCAGCATATTTGAAGGTATTTGTTAAATACATACCATAAATCATGTCTGTCACTAATGTTAATGTGTTGCTTATTTATGAAGAAACACATATGATCTAAGGCATTGTGATGATATTTGCTTTTTGGGGGGAAAAATAGAATTCCAAAAGATAATCAATTTGGTCAATCTATTTATAACAAAATAACTCTTTAACAAAGTAAAATAAAACCAAGATACTATGCTCAAACTTGCTTATTCTACAAAAGAACCAACTTCAAATCCCTGGTTATTGGCTGAAGTGCTTCCTTAAATGAAGAAACTTTTATCAGAACCACTACTCACTTGTGAATATTACTATGTCGTCATGCTACATCTTTTCGTAAAAAGTCCTTTCATTATAGGTTCCTTTTCTCAGGTAACTTCCTACCTAGATTCCCACATCTCAGTGGCTTCTGAAGAAAGTCCTAGGTGTGTCTCCCCTGTGGTGGTCTCTTGCAGCACACACCCTAAAAGTGTCTAGACCAGGAAGAAATGGTGTCATGGTGCGTACTGTAGTTTGGATCCAGTGTTGTCCACAGTGGCAATAGTGAGAAAAAGGAGTAACATTAAGAGGCGAGGCCTAGCAGGAGAAATTAGGTCATCTAGGGTGTGTCCTAGAAAGGGATTATGGGACCTGATCTCTTCCTCTCTCTGCTATTGTTGCCTATGAGCTAAATGGTTTTTCCATGCAGTGACGCCATGATTTGCCACCACCCGTCCAAAAGCAATGGGGCCATACGATCATGGACTAAAACCTCCAATACTGCAAGCCAATAAACCTTATCTCTTAAATTGATTATCTTGGGTATTGTTAGAGCAATGGAAAACTAACACAGTGTCCACAATGAAGCTACACTGGTCACATCTTTTCTGCAGTAAAGTCTGGAAAGAAAACTATTGTTTCTAAGACGAGGAGTTGAATGAAGTGAAGAGCTGTATTCTATCATCAGAGCTTGCAAATTCAAAAGCCTATCAGAGCAAGACAGGCAGAAATATCTGAAAAATCTTAATATTCTGGGAACTATACTGAACTGGAAAGCTTGTGCACCATTTAAGCAGTCAGCTGTAACTTAGCTCTAGCTACTTACTTATTAACGTTGGAACATGAAGTCCTACTTGGTCAAATCTTTTGTTTTGCAAAAAGAGATAGAAATTTCTATATGGGATCATGCATAAGTAGCTTCACCAACTAAAGCCAAATTCTTTTGACTAAAGGATTTCTCTGTAGTCTTGTTACATCCAAGCTAGACTGTTCTACCAATTATTTCCTATCTCAGATATTCAAGCCTCTGTAGTGGACTCCATCATCTGTGCCTACAAAGTTCTATTCTCTTTCCTCACCAAAATACTTCCTATGCTCAACTATAAAAATTGCCCTCAACTCAGCTGTCATCTTCCGGTGCCAACTGTTACTCCTCCACACCCTGCCATACAATGGCCAGTTAAATTGTTTTCCAGCTGTTATCAGTGACCTCAACTTGGCAGATCGAGGGCATTCTGCTCTCTTCTGTATACTCTAATGAAATCTACCTTACAGATCACCGCCTTGCTTTTGGACTTCACCTCAGATTCACAGATTAAACATTCATTTTACAAAACTCTTTAAAAACTAAAAGAGACAAAGATTTAACAGGCATATTTTGTTTTTTGGACGCTGTCATGATTTAGATCTAGACTGTCCCCCACAGCCTCACATGTTCCGAGATGGGGCTGGTGGAAGGTGACTGCATCCCGGGGGTGGGTGTTCAGCAGCGGCGTGTGGTGTCAGGAGGCGGGGCCTGGCTGGAGGTGGGGCACTGGGTATATGAGCTGGAAGGGTTTCTCTCCCTTCCGGCTCCTCCTTCCGCTCTTTGCTTCCGGGCTGCCAGTGCAGGAGTAGCTTTCCTCCACCGCCCTTCCTGCCTTGGACTCAGCTGACTAGCGACTGAATCTTCTGAAAACCATGCGCCAAAATAAACCCTCTCCTCCTTTAAGTTGTATGTGTCAGGTACGTCAAGTGACCAAACTAAATTTCCAGCCCTCTCATCTTCGCATTACCCAAACTGAAATACACCTGTGCTCTGACTGGTCCACCCCTCTCCATGCTGCTGCACCTGTCTTATCCCGTCGCCAACTGGAACGCCACCTGACCCTGGCACCAGCTCTAATGTCTCCTCTTGAAGATGAGTGTCTGAGAGCCTCAGGTGACAGGATCACTGCTGTCTCTGCATCACCATATTCAGTGCCACCATTAGATACCTGCTTTGTGCCACAGGTATCTATCAGATAGGTGATTAGAAAAGAGAATGAATATTTAAGTTTTAAAAAACTTGTTACAGTAAAATGCACATTGCCAAGAACGATGCATGTGTTCAAAGTGAGGGGAAGTATTTGGAGGGGAATTAAGGACAATGTGTCTTTTACTGTAACAAGTTTTTAAAAATTTTTAAACATTCACTGCATTTTTTAATCACACCTTATATATCCTCATCATCTAATTCACACCAGCACAAGCCTCAAAGCAGGGGAAGTAGGTCCCACTGTCCATTTGGGGAGCAGCAGAAGCATCAAATGCCTCCCTGTATCTAAGCTCTCGGGCAGTCTCCTCCCGCGCTGACTCTGGCCTGGCCAGCACACATCTTGACCAACGAGACATTAGCAGATCCGATGCAAGCAGAAGCTTCAAAAGCGCTCACAGACTGTATATTGTGTTCTCTTCTGCTTTCCGGAACCCTGAGTGAGACCGCTGCCTGCATAGGCAGCTTACTAAAGAATGAAACATCACAACAAAAACAAGTCCTCCCAGCTGTGCTCCCTAAAACAACCAAATCCAAGCCGAGCCACCAGGCTGCAAAGGTCCACCACGCTGGCCCCGACCAGCATGAAGCTGAGCACAGAGTCACAGGAATGAATGCTTGCGGTTCTCAGACATTGATGATATGGGACTGGTAAGAAGAGCTGTGAGTCCATACACTAACTAGTCTGACAGAGAACTAGTGAAAGCTTAACTTCTCTCTGATCACCCGATTCTCTCAGATTTTCTCTACCCCAGAAATAGAAATATTCTATGTTTCAGCACAGGGCTTCTGGTTTGTTTTATTTAAAAAATTATTTACTGATGTGGATTTGAATCCAGGATGCATCACTTACTCCTTTTGGTCTTAGACAAATTCTCTAAATTTTCTGGATCTTAATTTTACTTTCATAAAACTGATACAACACCACCAAGTTCATGGTACTGCAGACAATGTATATCCAATACCAAATACAGTATCTGGCACATTTCTTCAATAACCAGAGGATATCATCATTGTGCACATAAATATTAGTACTAAAACAAAGAGGCAGAAGTGATTAATCTCTGAGGCTGTGTTTCTATTACCACTATTACCACTCACTACTGGAAGGACAGACCTGGTCAACATGGCTCAACAGGCAAGGTGGGAATGGCTGGAAGTGAAATGCAGATAATTTTGATGCCTTGAATGATTTCTAGATATTTTTGCTGTTGTTCATAATACCTCCTTATCATCTCTAAAATAGGAATTTTTCTTTCCAATAAAGACTAGAAAGTTAAGCATAAAGCTTAATTATACTTGGGGCCATCCATTTAATAGTTATTTTTGAGGGCCATGGGAATAACAAATCGTAAGAAAATATAACTGAAAAGTTATTGGGAAGCTTTGGACAAGTCGCAGTTAACTAGGTAATTTAGAAAAGTCCAGATACCATTGAGTAAAAATATTCAGCACCAGTGGGATGCCTCTGCATCCTCTCAAAACATATAAAATGTTTTTCAAAGCTATAGCACATGGAGAGCTTCTTGAAGAATTGCCAAAGCACTGTGAATTCTCTGGGACTGGCCCACTGAGCCTGCTCAATACGAAGATTCATGGGACACCGGTGACCATCAGCATGCTATGCAAATATGCTCTTTTAAGATAAAATAATCAAATGATTTTGAACATAGCAACAGAAAGAAAGAAATCCTCTTCCATGACCAATTGCTCACCTATATAGGTTCCACTGTTGTTACCAGCATATTCAGCATCCTCTGGATGGAGTGTAAAAGCATACAGAACAAAAGCCAAGAAATAAAGCAGAACAGTTAGAAGCCCAGCCACAGATGCAAAAAATAAAATCACTTAAAACAATCATGTAAAGCACAGCATAGAACAGCCTCACAGTGCACTCTTAAACATAAAACGTTATGTTTTATATTTAAGTTTCAGTAGTTTGAAACATCATGCAGGATTGTTTTCAACCTCCTTCAGAGGTTCCTTGATGCAGTTCTGAGAAAATTATAAAACACTTGTCTGAGATGTTTATGCTTTCACAGGTAAGAAAATTATAATACTTGGATGCTCAAAGTAAATTCACTTTTGTAAATCAGGGCTTTTGATAATATGTAAAATCTAGCACTTATTTTGGCTCACTGAATAGACAAAAAAGGTTAAGATTAAAGTACATACTTTATATTAATAGCTAGTAATTCCATGTTGGGAAGGAATAAAGAAATATGTTTTTATTTTAAAAATAAGTAAAACATTTTAAAGTAAACAATGTATTACTATTTGGGGGAATTAAATGCATACTGGGCTATGCATATTTTAAAAGCTTAATGTGAGCAGTGGAATACTTAGTATTTTTGGTCTTTAAAATTCACATAAACATAGCTCTGAATGACAGACTCTGTAGAATAATTTAGGGGGGCTGTGGGTGCAGCTCAGTGGTAGAGCACTTGACTGGCATATGTTAGAATCTGGGTTCCATCCTAGCATTGCATGCTAAGCCTGTCGATATATTTGAATAATGTAACTTCTTCATTCTCTTTTATTTGAGCCTACTGAGATTACATTCTATATTTCTTCCATATAACCGCTCCCCCGCAAAAAAGTATATTTCTTTCAAAAAACAAAATCCAAAGTTCAACAACCAAGGTTTTTGGTATTAAAATGTCGGAGTGACAGCTTGGATGTACAAGAGAATTCTCTTCCATAAACTGCTTGATGTATTTGATTTAATCCTTCACTTATATGCACTGAACGTAATTACTAAACTATGCAGGGAAACTTTTATACATATACCTTTAATTTCCTCTGAGAAGCACAAAGAAAATGAGAAAAGAAATGGTTAAATGAACCAAAAATACAATTAAAGTACGAAGATATTACACACAAGAAAAATAAAATAAAATCCACCTACCACACTCAACTGTTTCCTCATCTTAGAAAAGCCAAAGGGGGGGAAAAAACAAATGTATTTTAAATGTTTCAAAAATATTTAGTCAATAAATAATAGAATTTTAGACTGTACTGCAGTCTTAGCCTAAAAAGAATGTATAAACTTCATAAAAACACAAAGTCATCATATAGCTTATCAAATAACCAAATGGGGAACAAATAACCAAATAAAATCCTCAGCAGTGTTTTGAAATAATATCTTGAAAAAGGGAATTTGATTTAATTTCTTCAACTGATTTTTCTTTGTAAATTAAGATGCTAAAGAAATTTCATGATAACAATCAAAAGAAAAAAAGATTTTAGAAACAACACATTTTGCACTTATTTTAAAATGTCCAAATATGTAAATTTAACAATATTCCAACAATGATGCATGTAACACATGAGTCAGCCAGAAGGTTTTACTTTCATTCTGTCTATATTATTTGATGAAAGATATTTTTAAAAGGAACTCTAAACAGTTCTTAAATTTCTAATAGAACAGCAATTTAAAAGTTAAATTTGAGGAGACTCACCTTCAGTAAAGGGTAGAAAAAGTACTAGCAACATATCAGAAGCAAAATCTAACCACGAGTCAAGGTAGAATATATTTTGCAGCATGATCTTACAGAGCAAAGAGAATGATTGGAACTGTTTTCCACTCACTTGGTGCCACAAGCTATAGAATGGCACCCAGAGAAAATGATTCAGAGGAAGTGAGAGCCACTGTACTTTCATTTTTCAGAAACCTACAGGTCTTCAACTGTTGGTCCTACTTGGCAAGGATGAGCAAATATGGCCAATCTTTGTTCAGGCTCATGGTACGTGTTCACCAAATTTTATTTATGCCTATTTGTTAGTACCTCTGGCATGTCCTGGGCATCTAACACAAATGATCAAAAACACAAAGTGAACTAAGTTCACTTAAGTTAGCTAAGCCAGGCATCTAAGCATGATGGAAATAATATGAGCAGTGCTTACACCTGATCACTATGAATCTCCTGTACTTGCCTATCCAGTGGATTATGAAACATAGTATATGTATTTTGATATCAATAATAGAATACATTGAATAAATTGAATATTGTGCCTTTGATTAAAGACTTGGTGTCATGGTAATCAGATGATGAAAGCCATGTCACAGAAACAAATGTAAAACACCAAGGCCAGTGCCCAATGAAACATTCTAATTTTTACTACATAGAGTATATATATTTGCTACTCTAATCAAAGAACAAGAATATGCTACATAAATTCACACAAGAATATTTCTCCATACAATTCTTCGGGAAGAAAGGAATGATATTTCTCAGCAGGATAAAACCACACACACACGGGGTGGGGATTTAGCTCAGTAGTTCTGGTGCCTGCCTCATAAGCGCAAGGTCCCCAGTTTGATCCCCAGTACCAAAAAAAAAAAAAAAAAACCAGAAAAAAACCACACACACATATTCAAGAGTAGGTTCATCAATGGACATCCAGGTAGTGAAGCACCGGAGCAGACTCCCTCAGAATTATCAGGTTTGACAAAAGTGGAAAAACATACTGGCTTCCCAGGTAATTGCAAGATCTTTACTATGTGCAAGGCACATCTGCTCCCATCATCTCCCAACACTTCCTCCTCCTGCCCCTTCTCTGTGTGTCTGCTGACAGGCACCTGGGGAGGGCCAGCTCCCATCCCCGACTTTATCAGGGTCCAGGGTCTGCAAGCTCCAGGACTGAAATGCAGGGGAGGAAAGTCACGAAGCCACAGAAGAAGCCCACAAAGGGCCAGTGAGCTACATGTGCCCTCTCAGAGCAGGGCTGCAGGGTGCTCAGGGGAGCTGTGATGAGCGCGGAGGGCAGAGCAGGCCTTCGTGCTGACACCTGAATGGCCTGCCTTCCACCTGACGAACGAGGCAGTCTCATCTACACTGCTATGCACTGCTCACATGGGCACGGTGGAACTGCTTTTCTGTATCTCCCTCACTCTCCTACGGCATGTTCCCTAAACTCTGCAATAACCCATGTCCTACCATTAACCAACTATTTCTTACGTGCGTGGCACTGGGACGCCAGACAAAATCCAAGGGACAATATGGCTTAGAGCCTTTTACACTAGAAGAATCTACTCTGAGAGTTTCAGAACCAACACTGTCAGATGTGCTGAGAGAATACAGTTTACTGAGATAAAAGTCTCAACCGTCGAATGCCGCGGTGATGAGAAGTTTACAACTCAGTCTGTCTGCACATCTTTCCTCGCAAACCCGGAGCCTCTGAGTCTTCTGCAGTGATACCAGTGAGCTAGGTGAGGGCCCGGCACGGCCCCAAGGCCCACAGCACAAGCCTGGTCTCCAATGTGGAGCTAAGGGGCGGGCCTGCAGGAGGTCGTCTGGTCCCTGGGGCCCTGAGGGCCACATGGGACCTGGAGCCCTCGTTTTTCTCTCTTTCGTGTCCCAGCAATGAGATGAGGGTTTTGCTCCTCTACGTGTTCCCAGCCCTGATGTGCGGCCTTGTCATCAGCCAGACAAAGCAACAAGGCCAACTGATGGCGGATTGGAGCCTCCAAACTTGTGAGCCAAAATGTGCCTTTTCTTTTGAGAAGCTGATTATCTCAGGTATTTGTTAAGGTGATAGGGAAAAATATGTAAAATATATAAAATATATAAAATTACATATAGGGAAAAATATTTTAGGTATTTTTTAACATTTCTAGGTATCTTCCCAAAAGAGATAAAGACATCATATTGCAGGGATACATGCATTCCCATGCTTATAATAGCACCATTCCTGTTTACAGCAGCCTGTATGTCCATCGACAGATGAATGAATAACAAAAATGTGGTATTTACACACAATGGAGTACTACTCTGCCATAAAGAATAAAGTCAAGACATCTGTGGGAAAATGGATGCACCTTGAGTCCACAATGTTAAGTGAAATAAATCGGACACACAAGCTTAAATATCACATGGTTTCTCTTCTATGAGAAATCTAAAATATAAAGAGCAAAATAAAAGATAACAGAAGTAGGGAGACAGATCTTTCTCAAATGGGAAGGAGATCAAGAAATGGAGGGAGGGGAGAGAGAGGAAGAAGAGGGGATGAAAAAAGGAATGAAGATGTGTATGTACCTGTACCAGTTCCACACAAGGAATGGAAACATTATGTCTGTTTCCACAAAGGCCCTGCCAATATTAAGAAAGTGTATGATCGAGTTTTAGATATACAAAACCAATTTTAACAATGTAAGCAATCTATTTATTTTTCAATTAAGTTTATGTATGAATTCACTGAATAAACATTACTGAAGATGCTAGGGGAAGGAGTGCACTCAACTTAAAAAGCTTTATTGCAAAAACCTGTAGAATCCTGTCACATTATTTGTAAATGTGTGGTCTTCAAAACTACAGGTGCCATGTACAGTGAATTCATACTTTTACTCAGTGTTTATTTTATTGAAGATTGTGATCTTCAATCCACAATGCTGTCTTTGAACGAACCACATTACATCTGGCTTGAACGAATACCCTTTTTCTGCATCTTTATACAAATGATGGCAATCACTCTTGGTTAAAACAAATTCTAAAATAAAATACTTTGGGCGTTTCTGTTTTGAGTTTTAAAATGTCAAAACTTGTGAATTTTTTCTTTTCTGTCAGGAATTCCACAAGAGTCATTTTGGAAAAGAAAAATTTCAAATGAAGATTGTTCAATCTGCTATAGTAAAATGTTCAGATATTTAAATAAGGAAATTAACCATGGAAAATTAAAATCATACTTGAATATTCTGGAGTAAAATATACAATATGAACAAAAGCTTTTTCTACAGTCTTCATGAAGGCCATAGGTAGTGAATTCAAACGTGAATTACATCCTATTGAAGTTAAAGTAATGTTTATGCAATTAAGACAACTCTTAAGTCACATATATAGGTTTCAATAGAAAAGAAACAAGCCATTTCAAATAAATTCATATTTCTTTCTTAAAGGCTAGGTGGTATCCTATGCTTTATACACACAAACTATAAAGTAAACTAGAGTACTTTCACCTCTGTCTACACAAGAAATGCAAGTGGACAAGTTTCCACCATGAGAAACTACTCGCATGAGCTCCCTGAGAAGAGCAGCAAGATGTGCTACAAGGTCTGCTCTTCCGTGTGCCTGATTCACACCCACGTGTGGGCACCTATGCTCAGATAAAGGAGGGAGAGATGATAAATTTCTACTATAAATTTCTTGTTGGGTAAGCAATTCTTCAAAAAGAAATAATAAAAGGAAGAGGGAGAAGGGATAACTCCCCATATCAAGCTTTCAAGATTTAAGAATATTTTCATTTTAAAGAATCCATGTTTCAGTTTTTTGGAATGTGTGCTTTTATGAAACCATTTCTTTTCTTTGAGCAGTCTATTTTCTGGCTATATATTCGATATACCAAGATTCTTCAGAGGAGAAAATAATCAAAGATGAGTACCAGTTTTACACTTACAGTTTTGTGTGAGTTTTTTCAGAGCCTGAAGAGGCTGTTATTATCATGCCTCCCAATTTTATATACTTGGGAGCCAGGGATGAGAGTCCTAACACAAATATAAATGCAAAGATGACAGGACTGGAATTCCTTTTTGCCTTCTATACTGATATTAACTGAACTTCTATAGTTCCAGAATCATAAACTTCAGTTATGATGATACACTTACGAATCAAAAATAGAATAAAATCATAGTAATATAAGCAAGTATGTAGTGGCAAAATTTAACAGGCTAACTAAATTCATTATTCTACTAAGTCTAGTGCTTACAATATTCTCCCAGGCTTTTAAGGAAACTTTTAAAATTTAATGAAGAAAATTTTCATTATTGCATTTCTTTATAAAGTTACAAGCCCCAAAATGAAAGAATTATTCTTTCAGAAATTTAACATTAAGTCAAAAATTTTTCTTAAAACCAATCTTAGGAATTAATATTCAGTATCATATAACGTGAACTTCCTATTTCAAAAATCTAAGTAATCCAATGTTGAAATCCAAGAAGTAGGTAAGATGGCCCTTGTGAGATACAGCTACATAAAGGATCACTATTAAATTCATAGGTTAAAGTGCTATTAAATGTCACTAAAGATGTTCAGTACTAATATAACGATTTCTGAACAGCTTTTAAATTTATGAGACAATATTCAAAGACATTTCAGTTCTTTGAGAGTAAAGACATTATTAGCTTTCTATACTTTTCACAGAAATATTGTCTTTCTGAACAAGAGCATGGTTACTATGTACTGAAGATTTATTTGGATAATCTTAGCCAGACTTACTTGAAAATACATAGCATCTGTATATGAGATACAGATTAATTAATACTTCTGTGACTTGAAATCTAGTTCGAAAAGAGAGCAAAAGAAAAGGAGGAATATCAGTAAACATTTCTGAATGGTGTTCAAGAGGGGGGAAAAAGTTAAAATGAGGACATTTCAGTAAAGATAAATCCTGAAATAAGTATTTCTCAGATCTGAATACTGCAGTATTAACATAAAAAGGAAATTATACAAATCAGTAGACAAAATGCCTTTATTCCAATTAATGCTCTCTTTCTCACACACAGACACACACACACACCGTCATATTCAAGTTCACAAACATCTATACCAAATACAGACCGGGAGAGCTATTAAAAGAGAAGCTATCCCTTTTGCATAATGCTTTCAAGAAACATGCATTTGATCATAATTATACCAAAAACTATCAATTTCTAAGTTGCCTTTGATTCAGAAAATTTAAGCATGGACTCAGATTTGAGGATAGTCATCACATTTCCTCCATTTTTCAAGGACGTGCTTCATGGCACATGCAGCACACAGGGCGTTAGAATAGCAGCACCCGAGCCTGAGGCTCCTTGGGCAAGGAGGCTGCTGGAGCAACTTCTCGAGGTGCCTTCCAGCCAGAGGAGCTGCCAATGAAAAGCCGCTACACTTAGAAACAACGCAGCGTTAAACTTTAAGCTTTCTGATGCCTTAGAACGCCACCTGCATTATGACAAGTGTTTTTCCCTTCTGCCTAGACTTAATGAAGCAAGAACAAGCAGGCTTTTAAATCAGTACTCCGCATTAAGTACTGGCTTGCTAGGAGATTTATACTCGACTGCAGTTTGGCTCTCTTAACTATGCGATCCCTGGGCTATAAGCTTCTACCAACTGACCGAAATAACAGGAGATGTGAAAAATGCAACAATACTAAAAACAGATGTTGGTGTAAAATTCCAGGGCCATTTATTTGTTCGTTTTGTTTTTTAATGAAATAGAAATTGATGAGATGGAGACTGGAGAGGGCGAGGGGCAGGAGGTAGAGAAAAGTTGAAAGAAGAGTAAGCGGAAAGAAAAACTAATGCACCCAAGTCCACTGTGTTTTTCAGCATGTCTACACTATCCCTTTTCTTACTGTCATTGTCTTTCAGTTCAATCTGGTGATAACTCCAAACAGACGGAATAAAGGCTAGAGTTACTATGATCTGTGGAAATGAAAGGAATTAAGAAGCACAATCGTTCTTAGGTGCAAATGCTTTTGTGTCTAAGAGAGTGGTGCATTTTGTTCCCTTAATCTCTACCAAGAAATAGCTTACCCAAACAAAACCTCTTGGCTTCGGAGAAAGAAACGAGTTCTTTTCCAGGTTCCATTTATAAAAGGCTGAAACTCAGAAATCAAAGACAGCAGTAGTTTTTTGTTCCTTTCTCAAAGAATGAGTTATGGGTTTATTATAAACATCTCCACAGCCATCCTTTCCTTCAAAAGATTCACATTAATATTCCTACTGCGGATTTCGTATGTGTTTCATTCCTGAGAAATGAGGACCCAGAAGCTATTGCAGGATAATATGATCCCTTCTTCCATGAGCACCTGCTTTAATAGTCAAAAACAAACAGCAGGATTTGGTTACTCTGCATTCTTATTAACAAACTTACATGATTTCCTGTTGGAAACTTTCAGGGGCTGAACCAGTATTTCTGGTCGTCTCAGGGCCAATCTCCTGGGGGAATAAAAGGTCAATAAGCCTCTCAATTTTCAGCACAGGTTTAAGGTTAATGCAGCAGTAAAATATTAAAAATCTTAAGAAAAAACTTAAAAGCTGGGGGTGGGGGGATGAACACAATGCAATCTGTTCAAATTAAGAAATAAAATTTCTTTACAAACTTTTTTAGATTATATGGCCCCCACCATGATTGCTCTTTTTCTCCCTTTCATTCCAACACAGATTCTGGTATTAATGTACTGTTTTCCATCTGCTTTATAACAAAAACCCAAGATGACCTGGTACTGTCATATTATTTTTGGTCATTATTCACAGCTAGTTAGACAAAACAGAAACCCAAGCCCACGGGATAATGAATTCTAAGGCAGGCTTTTAGGCTTATTTTATCACAACCATTCCGGAATGGTATTTCGCAGAGAACAAAAGGTCAGCTGAAGAGAGGCCAGTGGCCCCTGCCAGCCGCTCACCTCTCCTGGAAGTGCTTGGAGGGAATCAGGCCGGCCCTGGGGTTGGCGTCCCCTTCGTGCTTTGCCTGCCACCACGTTGCATCATCCTGGCTCATGACCTGGAGAATATCTCCCCTTCTGAAAGAAAGCCCAGCTTCCTTACATGGAATCGCCTTGTCCTCCTTAGGATCATAGTCAAAAAGGGCTCTGATAAACATCTGGAAGAAAGGTTCATTGAAGAATAGACGTAAAAAATAAATGTGAAATGGCCTACATTCTTGCAACTTAGATTGAAGAAATAATTATTTTAAAAACCCAGAATGTGTGCCTATGTATTAGATGAAGAAAGCTGTACTTCTCCCCACACACAAGAATATTTTTAAGAAATGATTACCTTGCCTTCTTTAGATGGAGTCTCCTCCTTGACACTGGGAATAATCTTAAATGTAATTGCTCCCTGAGACTGAGCCTGATAGCAGATGAAAGAAAAAGACATCAGAAATCTGGAGCCAAGGAAAATAAGATAAAACACCTAGGAAGCTAAAAGTTTACAAGCTAGGAATTACAACTCTTTGACCAAACTGAGGAAATTATTTTGGAGAAATTCTGGTAATATAAGAAAGCTTTAGAAGTTTGTCAAGTAAATTAAAAAACATTAAACCCCCTTTTGCTCACTCCCTGTGCACTTTTAATATGTCTATGAATATACTGTCATCCATGCCAATTCAAAGCAGAAATAAAAAATATGAACAGTGCCTTAAATACATAAACTATTAAATGACTAGACTAGATAATGTAAAAAGTTCGGGTTTTGTAATAGTTGTAATATTAAAATATTTAAGTGTCAGCATCCATGCTTTTTGAGATAAAATACCTATACTGTCAGTACTATGGTTATAAATACATGATTCATTTAGCACAATGCCCATTAGAAAACAGTGAAGATGGTTCATATCTGATGCATTCTGGTTAGTGAATAAAATATCAACTGTAGCAGTCTTTTCATCTTTCAATGAATATGTGTCTATTCTAAATTAATAAAAATTTTAAAGTCTGACTATAGCCGATGACCATAAAAATTACATATATTTTATTGTGTAAATTTTGAGATTCTTGGCCCTTAAATATTTAGTTTATTGGAAATTTATTTTTGTGTGTGTTATACAACAGAGGCTGTCCTTTTTCTAACTGAATCATATGAATTCAATACCATTTATGAAATGGTTCCATGGTCTTCCCACTAATTTAAAATGCAGATAGATGGAAGGAAGGAACAATGGATGGATGGATGGATGGATGGATGGACAGACAGACAGCGAGAGGAAGAGGGACAGGGAGGGAGGGAGAGCAAAGGGGAAGTTGCTGTTTGTTTTCTGCACAGGGAAGGGGTTGGTAGGGGCTCAATTACAGCTCCTGGGGTGAGCTCAAGAGCAGGTACTCAACGCAGAAGCAACTGACTCGGGGAGTGGCCTATAAGGCACGTGTGCCTAGAATTTTTCCTGTTGAAACAGTAAGTTCCATGGAGGTTTTGTCACAAATCTAACCATTATTTCTATGTGCCCCTGTACGACTCTTCCCCTCTTTTTTAAAATCTAAATTTATTTGGTTAATTGACACATAAAGATATAAGTAATTGTACATATTTATGGGATGCCATGTGATATTTCAGTACACTTATGCATTATATGACATTCAAATCAGGTTAATCATATCTATCTCCTCAAACATTTATCACTTCTTTGTAGCATTCCTTCACACTCCTTTCTTTTAGCTTTTTGTAATGTACAGTACATTACATGACCCACGTTACCTACTGTACAGTAAGACACCAACCCTTCTTACTTCCATCTCATGGTATCTTAGTTCTCACTGACCAACCTGTCCCCAGCCGTCCCTGCCCTCTACAATGCTCTCAGTCATATACTAATTTTTATAAAGAGATGTTTTGCAATACTCAAATCTTTTTATTGCAGCATGTTTATGTTTTCAGACATTAAAAAGAAAGTTTCTATTTTATCCTTACAAATGAACTTAAAATTACCATTGTTCAGGTCTAAAATAATTCCATTCAAGTTTCAGTTTCATAAGACATCTAAATTGGTTTTGCCATCTGCATACCCAGAATTCACAGCCTGCAGCACGGCTGTCACTTAGCGGGGGACAAAGATAAGTCAGTCACCAAGAGCAACACAGACGCCATCTATTATTAATACCACTGTAGTCAGGCAGTGTCCTGCCCCTAACGCTTTAATACGTTACCTCATTAACACTTAAACATATCAGTAAAATATTTACCTCTCTCGTTCTCATTTTATAAATACAAACACTAAGGCACAAGAGAATTTAGGTGGTTCCCAAGGACTTCAGCAATGAAGTGACGGGAGCTGGGATCTGCATCGTGTCCTGCTCAATTCAATGCCATACATTTCAAGCCCAGTCAGAAAAACCTGAAATTTTATTTTCATTGAGACTAAAATAAATGCACAGCTTACCAAAATCTGTATTATCTCCTCAGGTCTTTTATCGTCAACTGGTATTCCATTCACTTCTCTAAGCTCATCACCAACGTGAATGAGACCTGCGAGATAGAACATTTGCTACATCAGCACTGTTACACAAAAGAAACTGCAATTTGCAAATGTTTCTCCCAATTAAAGCATCCTTACTTCCCTTAGCAGTTTTAAGGACTGGAAAGATCTTCATACCTCAGGCTTCAAGTTCAATGCCTCCAACCACAATGAATCAAAGCAATATAACAATGCTTGCAAAAGTTATAATAGGATTCTAGTTTTTGTCTAGAAATGTACATTACTAATAGCTCATGAAATAATTTTTTCTTTTAAAAGTTGCATGTTCTTAGCAGTTTTCAAATCAGGAACAATGAAACAGGTCTTAACAGAACTTTGCAAGCCTGCATACATTCAGACCAGTGAGATTTACCTAGCATTTATTTATGTAGGTTCCCAAATTTCAACACAGAAAAGTATCATATGACTTGTTTTGCTGTATTATATCCAGAGATATTTTAAAACTTAAATTGGAAATGGCACAAAACACAACTTGTGTCCACTCCAGGAGCATTTAAACCTCACCACTTCGGTGCGCGGCCCCTCCTCTCATGACTCTAGCTACAACGATCGCCCCCGTCTGCTCATCCTTCTTAATGGTGGCTCCCTTTGAAGGGAAAAAGAAAGGAGCTGTGAGTAAATGTGCATACTGTGTAGGAGAAAGTGAGGGGAAAGGAGGACATTCAGCTGGAAAAGTGCAAACAATGACAAAAGCATTAAAGGAATAAAGTGGGAGGAACAGACCTTGTGTCATCTGTCTTACAAATACTCCTTACTAGGTACAGAAAATTGTATCTACATAGCATCTAAGGGTTTCAGCACAACATAAAGACATTTAAAATTACAAATTTTTTCAAAATTGTGGGAAATAAAAATATCTTCTTCGATTATTAAGAATATCTTGTATTTTATATTTCCTCCAGAGTTAGTTTCATTAATTTGTCTTCCAAGGTACTTCTTAGAAGTTGTCAAATTTATTTCAAAAAAGATTTTTGTAATATGCTTTCTATATCCTTTTAAATTCTGTAAAATCTGTGGTAATGTCTCCTAGATCTTAATGTTGTAATTTAAAAAATGTGTAACTGATATTGTGTAACAGGAAGAAAAGGTCTGAAAGAGCAGGGGAATTGGGAGGGGTAGGTGAAGGGAAAAAAGGGAAAGGAAAAAATATGAGAAGAGGAAAAAAAATGGAAACAAGGTCTTTGCAAATAGGGAAGGGGAAAAAAAATAAGAACCAAGATACTCGTGTAATGGTACAAGAGCCCAATGATGAATGTAACTGTATTTTATACCTAAAATGTACCAATAAACTTAATGGGGGAAAAAAAAGAATATCTTGTAATAGTTGTATTAGAATGAGGTTAGCTTTTATTCTTTTAAGGTACTTTCTCATTTTATCCTAGCCTTATCATACCTCATGAAGGAGACAGAATAGCTATGGTTATGTGAGTAGACAAAAGATTACATAAATCAGAGCTAAGGCCCAGGTCATGGGTTGGGGCAGAGCTCAGTGGCAGAGCACATGCCTAGCACGCTTGAGGCCCGGGGTTCCGGCACTTTCAATTCGATGATTCTTCTCTTACACTAAGCTGTTACAGTAAAGGTGCCTGGTAGCAACAATTAAAAAAGGAAAAATATGAAAACCTGGAAATTAGTTTTAAATGTTGCTCACTTAAATTAAGAGAGGTCTGTCACTCCAAGGTTTTAATGAACTCAGTTTGTACTTAGTACAAATAGAGCTAATGTTTTGACATCAGATTCGGGAACAATCTCAAAAGAATCCATCATTCTTCATTTACATATACTCAGAGGCACATTAACTGAATGCTGCTTTATAGGAATAACAGGCACAAATGGTTAGCCTTTGCATGCCTTTTTGCCCAAGAAACAGGCACTGGTTTAGAAAAGCCATATACCACATTGCATCAAATGGCTGAAAAGGTCTACACAGTGCTGGGATGGAACCCAGGTCCTTGTGCACATCAAGACGTTGCTCTGCCACTGAGCTATGCCCCTGCAGTCCTTAAAAAGGTGTGCTTTAAGTGGTGGTAGAAACTGTCCTGAAGAAGTGGAATTTTTCTTAAGTTTGTCAATAAGCACAAGTATATTACTAAAAAGTAGATATGCAAACAGTACAAATCAGTTTGTAATAAGTATGCTTCACACCTGACAACTATCAGATATATCTAATAATAATAGTAAAAATAAAAAATTGATGGTTATTTTTGTGGCATTTTTCCTTATCTATGCGTGCTTGAATGAGCTTCCCTCCACAGCCATAAACCTTAGATCCACCCATTACTGGTATTTTCTTTATTTAAGCAGATAACTTAAAGCCACAATGATATAATATTGGAGATATAATATTGTTAACACATTTTTAGTTTAATCAGACCAACTTTCATCCTTTTATAACTCAAACTGTCCCAACAAAATATGCCAAATGGCAGAAAAGTTTAATAATCAAAGTTTACTTACTGTACAGATGAGAAGTTGAATCCCAAATGACCCTAATTTGCCTAAGATGGGACAATTGGTATCTAGTGAAATCGGGACCCATCTGAGACAGTCTGACCAGATAATCTTAATTTGCATTCAATATTGCTCACCCTGTATATTTCCATGAACGTCTGCTCACAAGTTCATTTTGCCTGTGGATTTGCAGATTCCCTGCCCTGGGACTTCTCTTCCCTCCTTGTATGTGCACGTCACATTCCCACATCCAGGGGTGAAAATCACTCTATGGCTTCTAAGGCTATGAGAAGGCAGGAAGTTGCCACGTGGGCCTCATAAACCACTGGCTCTGTGCACCCAGCTGCCACGTGCAAATCCTAGCCACGGCCACGCTGTGGGAAGCCCGGGCGAGTCAAGCAGAGAGGCCACGTGAAGATCATCATGCCTGGCAGCCCCAACCTCAGCTCCCAGTGCAGGCGTCAGCTGTGTGAGCACTGGAGCCCCAGACGACACAGCCTCTGCCACCTGACTGCGCGTCCCAGGGAGTGCAGGGGTTCCCCTGCCGAGCCCACCACTGTGCAGACCTGTAGGACATAGTCAGGTACTGTTTTAGCCCCAGTGTCTGGACCAAAACCACATCGTGTTCATGACCAAACCACATAACTGGAACAAATCTCTCCCTTTTCACTATGCAATAGTACTACACTGGTTTCCAGTATAAAACCGTCCAGTTTCTTGTGCTTAGTGCTAGTCCCTCTTGATTTTTTCTGTGATTCAACAAAATCGATAAATGTTTATCGAGAACTTATTATGAGCCAGACAGGATTCTAGGGATTTGTAACACACTGGTGAACAAAACTTCTGCTCCTCATGGAGCTTATCATCTAATAAGAGAGAGAAACAATAAATGAGAAATGCAATAATTAGATGCATTATATCCTACACTAGAATGCAGTAGGCACTATGGAGGGAAGTAGGAAGGGGGTAAGAGGACAGTAAGGAAGGTCAGGATCCTCAGCAAGTGGAGGGAAGACAATGAAGACACAAGTCTCACTGAGTAAAGAAAGGCTGGAAGGAAGTGACAGTGACAGTCCCAGCCAAAGGGAAAAAAGCAGAAATAGCAGATGCCAAGGGGAGTCTGGATGGAAAGAATATTCAAGGAGGAGCAGAGAGCACAGCAGAGCGGAGTAAGAGGAGAAGCAATAGGAGATGAGGCCAGGCGGGGTCAGGGAGCTGCGTGATGCAGTGCTCTGCAGACCAAGCTGAGGACACTGGGTTGGACTCCGAATGTAAAGGGAGAACATGCAGGGTTGTGAGCAGCAGGACCTACTGTATGACGGGTAAAGGAATCTAAAATGATCACGATATGCCATATATGGGTACCAACTCTCCAAAATGAATATAACTATTATGTATTGCAAAGATACACTAATAAAACAAATTAGCAAGGGCTAAAGCAATGAGAGAAAAAGATTATTATAATAATCCTGGGGACAGGTGCTGGTGCCTTGGATCGGAGTGGCAGGAACAGAGGTGATAAAAAGCATTATGGATGCATTTTTGGTAGAGACAGAAGGACTTCCCAGCGAACTGGCTATGGGATGTGAACAAGAAGGATAAACAATTGCTCTTCTGGACTGAGCAACTGGAGGGACTGAACTGCCACCAACCAGAGGGCGAAAGACTACGGGTGACGCAGGTTTGGGGACCAAGACTGGGATGTATTCTGGACATGTGAACACTAAGGTTTCTACTAGACATCCAAGTGCAAATATCAGGTGGACAGACGGATTTACAAATTTAAAGGTCAGGAGAAAGCTCTGGAAAAGAAATAATCTTGAGAGTCACTGGCACAGAGATGTTTTCTAATACCATGGGCAGAATGAAATCATTTCTGGAAATGTAAAGAAGAGCCCTCCAACACTTAAGGATTATTTTGCTATAGATAAGGACCCTGACAGAAAATGATTGCCACCTACTGATTCTACTTTTGTTGGGGGTTAAACTATGGACCTGAGAAACAATTTCAATTTCTATGTGACAGTACCACTAGATCCAATCTATATTTTAAACCCTTCCTTCTTGAAGACTTCAGTATCCAAACTGCTTTCCAAATCCCTATTGTCACAATTTCCTGCTGTATTCCCAGCACAATATATCTGTACAAAGGATCAAAACTCAGTGATATACAGCATAATATATGGTACTGTATGAAAATTGAAAGTTCTATGGCATAGTCTGCAAATGCAAATGAGTTAATGCTGAATATTTTGAAAAATTATACTTTTTGCATAATTATTTTGAACTTATTCTATGTTATTTTGCTGGAAATAGAATACAGAGAACTTCAGGTTAGACTGAGGGTTAAAATTCTGGTTATATTCTTGTTGACTGTTAACTTTGTAGTGTTTTATAGAGGAGAACGCTAGTACTGGATTATCATGATTTTCTTAAATCACAATTTTATCTCTTATAAACCGCCAAAGTCTCAAGCAGGCAGCACAGGAATTACAGGTTAAGATTTTGAAGTAAGCATTTTCAAAAATAAGTGTGCATTAGGAACATCTCAGGCACTTTTTTACAATCAGGATTCCCAGGCCCTACCAAAAACCTCCTGGTATAATAGATCTTTGGGGATAGAGCTCAGAAATTTACATTTTAAGTAAGTACTGCAGGTCATTCTTACAATGCCAAAATTTGAAAACTACTCTTCTCAAAAAATCAAGAGGACAAACCTCACAAAAACCAATAAAAACTGTACCAAAATCCACTCCCCAACTAACAGAACCTCATTTTCTTGAGCTTGTTTAAATCTTAATTTTCTGGTAAAACAAATATAAATTGCTCCAAAGTCACACAGGAGGTAGGATACCTCTGCTCTTCATTCACATCTTGACTCCTGTTTTTCTCCTCTCCTCCCAGTCTTTTATTCATCCTTCCTTTTGAACTTTTCTTCTCCATTCCCAAATACCTGTGTGATGTGTGCTCCTGCCTGTTTGCCCCAGGGAATCATTCTCTGTTTGCATAGCTGCACACTAGATTCCAGCTTTACTGTTCTGTGTAACATTATACAGTACCTCAGAGCTCATAAAGCACTTCAGATACATTCTATCTAGTTGATATCCAAAGCGCCCTTGAGGTGGACATCTCCTGAATTTCTGATGAGGATTCTGAGGCTGAGATGGAAGTGATCCGCTGTGACAGGACACAGCAAATAAGTGACAGAATCCGATCGCCACACAGGGAACCCAATGCAATCTTGCTATTCACCACACTGTACTTGGGTCTAACAAACAAAACATACTCTGATAACCTCGCCTTTGGTTACCAGCACTGGTGTCCTTGGCTCATGAATCATTTCTCAACCACTTCCTGACCAGCCTGGCTTCACTCATTTTGCCTATTTTTGTTCTTTACTACTGAGCTCCTCTTCCTGCATGCCTCTGACTCTTCAATCTGCCCTTCTGCTTTGCGATCTGGTAGCTCCTCCAATAAGTTCTCTAATCTGACAAATATCATGTGACAAATAATACTGAGCACAAATCATTTCTACTTTTCTGGGTAGTACATGTTTTAAGCTTTAAATTTATTCACCCAGTAATCTTGTCGTACTTTTACAAAACTGTCAAACTAAAAACATTATGCTAACTATACATTCAGATGAGAAAAAAGTTCAATACAAATAATTTTCCTCACTGGATTTCATTTAAAATCACACTTAAAATCTTAATAGTTTGTTTTTTTTAAAAAAAGAACACTCAATAAATAATCTTGGGTAATTTCCTCAACCCATTAAAAGCTCTCTTTTTCCATGGGAAGTTGGTTTTTTGTTCATCTGTTTTTAAATACAGCTTCTTAAAAATAAAATATGAAATCACATTGTGGCTAGGTAGGAAAATAAAGAATCACTAACTAAAATAATTTGTTTTAAATAAAGAAATTCAAAAGTTCTTAAAATAACTTTAAACTGCATTAAATATAGAAAGTTGAAGCTGGAGTTTAAAGAAGTTACCTGCATATGTTTGGAGGGGAAAAAATGTTACCAATTTACTTTTAAACAATAAAATTCAAAATCAGAGAGAAAATTTTAAAAATTAATATAAAGGTAAGTGAGCAGAATGGCAATTATAGATCAAGTGAAATACACAGACCTAACATTTTCAATACCTCCACATGTGGGAGTAAACAGGAAAACGTTACTAATTAAGTAGAGTTCAAAGTTGCTACATTATACCCTGCTACCCTAATAAGAAACTGAAAAATTTGAGAAATGCTTAAAACATTTCCTTAATATACAAATACTACAAATCTGGTAAGCACTTTCATACACAAGAGAAATATTCACTTTTGAAACAATCACTGGATGTGATCTTTTAAGGAAATTCTTCACTTTTATCCCCTGCATTTCCTCCTAACTGAAAGCCAGTACTTCTAATCTCCCAAATAAAAACCTGCTGTGCTACTTTTTTTTTGGTACTGGGGATCGAACTCGGGACCTTGCACTTTTGATGCAGGCAGCGGAACCACTGAGCTAAATCAATGTGCTACTTTTTGACTTCTCTCTCTGCTTGTCCTTTTCATTTAAGATTAGCTTGGTCACTTCAAATCCAACTTGCACGTAACTATGGCCATTATCCTAGTTCACAGTCTCATCTTAAATACACTGTATTACATAAACTATAAGAAAAGAAGGATAATAGATGAAGAATTACCTCTCATTCATTAAAGTTTGTTTCTACTGTTACATGCTTCTTCGCAAAGGGGCATGATATATTCAGTAAGAAACTATGACAAATTATTTTATGCTGTTCACTAGATTTCTTCTCATATTTAAAAGAAGAAACAGCAGATCCAACTCACATTTTTGAGAGAGCAATTTGAAGGGTTATAAGGCAAAGGGAATACAAATGTTGCTGATGACTGTCTAAATGTCAGCTCACCAACCAACACCACAAGGAAAACTAAGCCTGATCAATGTAATTATTACTAATTACTAATTATTACTAATTAAGTGAATTACTGAACTCATCAACTGAGATAGGCTTTCAGTTACCTCCCAAAGAAGTTTAATTTGTCAAAACAACAGAACAAAAAATTACTTACTGATATATGTACAGAATCTGCAAAGAATTAGTTACTCTCAGATGACAGGCTCTGGAGTCAGTTTTCTCTCTATCCAGTGCTGGTGCCAAGTATTTTAACTAAGTATATGACCATACTGAAAGTCAAAAGATATTTAGGTTGCCACTGTGGAGTTCTAGCCGTGGATTAAAATCAGGTATTTTACAACATGAAAGTAAAGAATCTGAACCAGGAATACAAGGAGCCCTAGGATGTCCAAAAATGAGTTACAGAGACTCAATAAATCTTTAAAAATATGCAAGCTATCTGTATGTTTTTATGGGTACGAAAATTCAATTCATTTATCAGCGCATCCAAGGAGCCCTTAAGACAGGAAGATAAACTGTCAAAAGGAAAGAGTGCAAAAGACACAGTATGAGTCAAAAAACCCTAGTATCTGAAGACAAAGAGTTAAGTTTACATCTTAGTTCTACTAAGTTGCTTTACTTCCCTGAATATAAATTTTCTAGATTGTAAAATCAGGAAATTATACCAACTATGAGGATTAAATATATGTAAAGTTCCTGACATACTGCTGTCAACTGGTGTATTATCAACTGCTGCTTACTTCAAGAACACAAAAATGCATTAATTACAGTAAATTGGGCACGATACATTTTAAATCAACTGCTGGATCACGTGAATTAATTATTTTTCTTTTGAACACAGTTTCATAAAATATGGACTGGCCCTGTCAAATGAGCACAAATTAAGGGCTTAATACGAGTTTATTATTTTATAGTTCTGGGGTCAGAAAGCCAAATAGGTCTTTCAGGACTAAACTCAAGGAATGTCACCTGCTGTGCGCCTTCTGGAGGCTCCAGGAAGGAACCAGCCAGCGCTCACTTCTCCTGATTTCCAAGGCCGCCTGCGTGTCACCTGACCCTGCTCTCACTGTCACAGCCCTTCTCTCCCCTGGCCCTACACCTTCCTCTTCCACTACTCTAGGAGCCCTGTGGTTACACTGGGCCCACGGGATAATCCAGGACATCCCAAGGCCTCAGTCACGAAGTCCATCTTGCTGTGTAAGTGACACATTCACAGGGTCTGGGGAAGAGGACATCGCCTCTGTGGGGCAGGGGTCGTTGTTTTACCTCTCATGCCTCCCTTCACACAGTTCAACACTATAAATTCTAGTGCAAAAACAAATGATTATATGATGATTATATTTACATTCTGAAATATCAGATACTTGATTAAATATTCTGTTACTTTAAAATTAATCAACAATTTCTTTTAGTTACACGATTTAATATCAAATAAGCCATACTTGGTGCATGTTATATTTTTTAATAAATATCAACGGTGCATTGTTTTCAAAATTATTGCTACTAGTAATCAAGAGAAAGCTTGCTATTTTATTTGGCTTCATTCTAATTTTTTAAAATCATGTTTAGACATAAATGTTTCATTTACTTTAAAGTTTGAGGAGGACAAGAGGAAGTGTATTTTCAAAACAGGAAGAGTTGGTATGTGCCCATCCACCTTGCCACGATTGTGACATCTACCCACACCTTCCCCCAAATGTGGACTGGGCTTACCAGCGGTTCTCTATTCTTGACCAGGCGGATTATTTTTACGGAGTCTTCCTCATCGTCAATATCATCAGGCATAGCAGGCAACACAGGATCATAATTCTTTTGTGCCACAGTGTCATGCACAGAGAGCAGAGCCTATAAAATGCAAAGATTCAGGAAAATATTAGGCAAATACAAAACCTCCAACACCTGAGACTAAAGAAAATCAAGTGAGTTGTAATTTTGTCATCAAATAATAACAAAGCAACGACTTGCAAAGAAGTCTCCTCCAAACAGGAAGCAGAAAGCAGAATGTGCAGACGTGAAGGTGACTCCAAAAGGTGGCACCTCCGTGCCTAAAGGCACGGCACACGACAAGAATCAGAGTGGCTGGCATCTAGCTGGCATGTGCCCCAGTTTACCCTTAGGAAGGTGGCAGCTGGGGACTAGGGTGGAGGGGGTGGTTACTTCTGAGGGAGGGAGAAAATGAGGCTGTGGATACACTGTCAATGAGCTAGGAGACGTCTGAGAATACTATGTTTTTCCTATACTATCATTTCTTCCTATCAGCAGAAAACACACTATCAATGTGATTCTTTTGTTTTCTCGCTTTAATTTTGTGTGTAATAGGTATGTACAGAAGGAAAGTATTTCTAGTCACTGCTAGTACTGCAGAGGTAAACTCTTCAAAACACTGACATCTTGTTCCTAAGTATCAAAGATGGGAAGAACACTGGAGCCTTGCATGCCACTGCTATTTCACATGAGTGGGTTTTTAGACTTTCCACCACCTTGTTCCCTGACAGACAGCAACACCATTATCCACAAGAAACCTACAAACCATCACGCAACCTCTTGTCTCACCTGTAATTCCAACATTCCACCCATGTACCATTAAATCTGCCCCCAAAATATATCTAAAATTCATTTTCTCTCTAGAGCAGAGATCAATAAACCATGCTGCACATTCTTATAAATAATTTTTATTGGAACATAGTGATACTTATTTACATATTGTCTGTGGTTGCTTTCATGCCATAATGGCAAAGCTGAGTAGCTCGAACTAATCACTTTTTATCTAAAAAGCTGGCAGTTTCCAAATCTAGATCATGATGCTATCATTTTTACCTGGAGTATTACAATGACCTCTAAATGGTTCCGCTGCATTCACTTTGGCCCATTTTCAAATCCATGATTCACAGTGTAGTAAAGGTGATTACTTTAAAATTCAAATCCTTATAAAGGTGCTCATAGGACTGGGGGGGACATCAAACTCTTTAACATCCTCTGAAAAGTCTTCCAAACCTTCTCAACCTTTTACCACTTTCTTCTTCACTCAACTTGAATAATTATTTCTCATTAAGACCAGGCTGGAATATCCAACATAAAAGTAGGTCTCTCCATTTCTTGATCTCAGTGCCTTGTTCTTTGCTTAGATAAATGCTTACACCTTCCATGTGGATTTGTAGACTGATACATTTTAATATTTCTATCTATTGAACAGAAGAAAATGGTGTCTATTTTCTAATTAAACCTTTTTAATGACTCACAGAACATACAGAGTTGATTCCATAGAAGTAGAGAGTAGAACAGTGGTTACTAAAGGCTGGGAAGGATGAAAAGAGGAAAGGGTAGTAGAGAAGAGTTGGTTAATGGGTACAAAAATATAGTTAAATAAAAGATTACTTCTAGTAGTCTGTAACACAGCACAGTGGCTGTAATTAACAATCTCATGTATTTCAAAATAACTAGAAGACAGGATTTTGAGTACTGGAGAAATAAATGGTAAATATCTGAGTAGTGGACATGCTGATTATCCAAATTTAATCACTGTATATGGCATATATATTGAAGGACTGAACTGTACTCATGACTATGTACAATTATGTGTCAATGAAAAAACCCTATTACCAGAAAGAATTAGAAAAGAGGTTCTTAACTGAATACGATTTTACTCCCTAGGGGCCACTGGTCAAGGTGAAGAGACATTTTTGATGTTCACAATATTGGAGATTCTACTCCCACTCAGTGTACAGAAGCGGAAGAGTCTCCTAGACATGACACCATACAGAACAAGCCCTCTCCCCAAAACACTACTACCCAGCCCCAAAATGTCAAAAGCTTCAAAGCTGAGAAACTCAAACTGTGGTTTGTCCCCTACAGGCTCATGAGCGGAAGGCTTGCTTCCCAAGTGGTGGTAATAAGTGGTGGGGGAACCTTAAGAGAGAGAGCCTTGTGGGAAGTAATTTGATCACTGGGCACATCATCCCTGGCACAGACTAATACTGGTCCTGGAAAGGAGTCAGCTCTCGAGAGAGCGGGTTGTTTGAAACTGAGACCACCCATGCACTCAGCTCCTTTTGTGCATGGCCAGTTCCCTTACTCTTTTCTCCCATGTTGTGATGCTGCCAAAGGGGCCCTCCGCATAGGCCAAAAAGATGGGACTCAGTCTTGGATTTTCAACCTCTAAAACTGTGAGCTAAATGGACCTTTTTTTAAAGTACCCAGTTTAAAGTATTTCGTTATAGCAACAGAAAACAGCTTAATACATCCTACTAGATTAATAAACAGACTAATATATCAGATTAATACAATCCCTGAACAGGAATAGTTCCTCTTCTCACCAGAGAGCAGGGAAAATCTATTTATTGACAAGGCATTGAGAAGACTTACTAAATAGGTACTGCCTCAATGTGAGAAAAATAAGCCCAAGACTAAACGCTGCTATAGTCTCACCTAAAAAAGCTTAAATGCAAGCCTATAGAGGATTAAATTGTTTCCAAATAATTTAACTGTACAACAGAAAAATGTTCAAGAATTTTATCCATAGAAATACAAAAACACCCACAATCAAATGAGAGAAAATTCAAAATGACTGGTAGTCAACCAAAATTACTAGGTATGCAAAGAAAGCAGAAAATACTGCTCATAATGAAGAATAAAAATGATAAAGCTATAGAAACAAATACTCCAATTGCACAGATAGATAATAGACAAGGAAGTTTAAAAGTTATAGCTATATTCTAAATGTTCAAAAAACCTAGAAGACTGGACATGAGATATGAAATACATAACAAAGATTCAAATCAAGCTTGTAGAGATTAAAACTGTAATCTATGAAACAGGAAAAAACCACATAAAATGAGGTTAACATAGATTAGACACTGAGTAAAAAATAAACTTATAGGCAAAGCAACTTAAACCATCCAAAATGAAAGATAAAGGGAAAATACACTGAAATACCATGAATAGAGTATCATGTCGACAGAGTTCTATACCCAGCAAAAATATCTTTTGACAATAAAGATTCTTCAGTGAAATAGACTTTTAAAGACCTATAAAAGCTAAAAAAAAAAATCACCAGTAGACCTGCATTGTAAGAAATGTTATAGAAAGTCTACAGTGAGGAAATGTTATAGAAAGTCTTTTAGACAGGAGGAATATGACAGATGGGGCCTATAGTGAGGAACAAAGAACACTGAAAATATACACTATCTTCAAATGTATATAAGTGCCTTGAAACATAGTAAGAATTAAAATAGCCAGTGCAAAAATTTTAAAATAAAGCCATTATTATAGTTGCAATGATACACAGACACCATTAAGAACACCAGATGTATATCTCCGCTCCTTAGCTGTGGACTCATTTCCATTTCTGGATTCCAAAATTAAGTCTTAGAGATTTCGTTCTTTTTTTAATAGCTTTGCTTTACAAATACTGTTGGTTAGCAACATTTTTATTTGGACAGCTAAAAGTTACTTTGTGTTCCATTTTCCTGTTTTAACCCTTGTGATTTTATTCTTTAATATACAGATTTTCTTTTCAAAAGGCAAAACTTAAATGGAAATTGTGTTTCCATATGCCATAGCCACCAATCACGACTGATGGGTTTACCTGTTGCCCAGAAGAATCTGCAGGAAATTGAACACTAGGCTTTGTAACTCATCAGGCTCACAAATTCTCACTGCCTTGGACCCCCTGGAGTGAACTCTACATTCTAAGTATCTGTCAGGTCCAAAGAATTAAGTGTCCTGCTCACAAGGATGAGTCAAACTGATTTATCCCTCCAAAAGGAAGCTTAACTTTCCCTTCAGCATGCTTTAATGAGGCCTCATCCCTCCTGCATGCTCAGGCAATGAGTAATTTCTGGTAAGCGAATGTTTTGGGAAGCTGAAAAATTACAAAAACTCCTTTTGTCTTCTTGCCTTTAAAGAAAATCCACCAAATCTTCCCTGATTTCCTAAATTATAATAACATCTTCAAGAGTATCACTCTGCTGTTTTATCAAAGTGAGCCCCAGTGTGATGACTCATACAGGTTATTTGGCCTTTACTGCAGCAATGTGATGTCAAGGACTGGTTCATATTTATTAACAACTGTCTCTGCTGTCCCTAGAAACAGAATCTCTGTACAGACCACCATCCCCCTATCAATACCCCATGCACACCACCACCATTGCTGTTGTCTACTGCGCCCCTGCACAAGCATGTGGCTAGTCACCGCCTCTCCTTTTCTTATCATTTGTCCCTTCTTTTATATTTCACTGTTTCTCCTGGACTTTAAGATCTGAACAATAAAATTACATTTTGTAGATATTTTATTAACTAAAAAGAATTTTTCTTTATTGTAACCAATCAATTCACATTAGGTATAATCTTTAAAATTTTTGACAGTTCTCAGGTGAAATTATTGTTACAGAATAACAAATCATTTCCTAACCATTACAGACTTGAGAGCACCAGGCTGTCTGAGAAAAGCATTGGCATTCTTCAGCAACTTGGGATTACTTGGGAGTGAAATGAACAGTATCACAATTTTATGCTACTATGAAGTAAAAAAATGAATAAAAAGTTAAAGGCCATATGAATATACTGGATTATATGAAAAGGTATGAAAACCTATACTGAAATAAAAATTCCAAATATTTAATAGTTTACATTGGCTTTAATTTCCTGGGAGCCCCTCATGCTGCAAGCGCAGTGGTGTGTGCTGGAGACACATAAATGGGACCACACGCTTGAGTGCATAACAGAAAATCCATGGAATGAACACACACACACACACACACACACACACACAATTGTTCAATGCTAGTCTAGTTTCTGGATACATGCTTTTGAGCTTCAGTTTTCTTAATATTTAAAATAGAATTAGT